CAGCAGGTCAACCCTGGGGCCAGATTTCAGGCCTGACAGCCTTCCCAGGAGACGAACTACTGAAAATAGGCCCTGGGAACTTGCAATGTCCTGGACTGAGCCTGGAGGAGGGGCAGGGAGGGTGGACCCTGGGGCGGCCTGAGCCTGGTCTGGCCCCGGGCTCAGCATACTTTCCAGCGACAAGTGCTGGCAGAGCAGGTATCTGGGTGCAAAGAACACAGGGCAGGCCCAGCTGCCTTGGGGGACATCTTCACTGTCCACACCCTGAGCTGGGCACAAGGCTAGATGCTGGGTGAGGGCTTCAGGGATGTGAAGGTGGCTGCTGGAGGCAAAGGCAAACAGCACACTCTGCCAAGGAAGAGCCACCAGGGGCCCTTACCCAGAGGCTGAACTTTCCCCATGGGGGTGGATGACAGGATTCCTCAGCGGTCACTGGGCCCCAGGAGGCCCAGCCCTGCCTTCTCTGGCTGGCCAGCTGAGGGCGCAGGGGCGTGTGCAGAGAGAAGGCCGGGCAGATGAGGAGGAATCTGCCCCCACCCCTCCAGGTCTTAGTGCCCTCATGCTGTGCTGGTACAGGGCAGAATGTTCTGGCACAGAGGCACCCAGGGCAACAGCTAGGGGTGCTCAGTGTCCTGTCCTGCCCACCACACTGCCTTCCATTGATGCGACGCGTACCAGTAGCACCTGGCAGTTTGCAGGGGGTGGAGCTGCCAGGGCCTTCACCTGGACCAGTGGTCCTGAGTCAGGTCGACCCCTTGGATCTGGTCAGTGGCCCTCCTCCACAGGCAGCCTAGGTCAGAAGGGGCCAGGTGAACTGAAGCAAGAGGCCTTACACCTGGGCATGGGCATGGTGGCCTGCAACTGATGAGGGGTCCCCACATCCACAGGTAGGGTGGATGGGGGCACATCAGCCTGTGGCTGAAGTTTTGGGAGAGTTCCAGGGAGAGGGTGTTGGTGTGTGTGCGCGTACGTGTGTGTCTGTATGTGCATGTTTATGTGTGTGTCTAAGCGTGCGCATCTGGAAAAACTGCTGCGTGTCCAACTCAGAGGGTGCCGCCCCAGGGCTCCCCCGCCTGGCATTCTTCTCCCCACCCAGTGGACATGGCAACGGGAAATAACAGCAGGGAAGGCCAGGAAGGACTCAGGATCTGGTTTCAGGGGTGGGGGCACCCTGGGCAGGGCAGGGTTGGAGTCCGGTATGGGAGAAAGAGCCATCCCTAGGGCAGGGCAGTGGAAGGGGGACAAGGACCAGGTCATTTCTGCCACCTGCCCCAGAAAATGTCCCTCTGAGAGGAGCTGTGAAGCACCTTCCCAGGAGCCCCAGGGTAGGTTTGGGGTGGAGGCCAGACAGAAATGTGTGTAGCCATGTAATCTGAGAGACCCTACGCACAACACCAGACACACCTGATGGACGCAGCCCCACACAGGTATATCTGTAGGGGCCAGGACACGTGCGTGCACGTGTGTGTGTGCTGTACAGGCATCCAGTCCCTCCAGCTGCCACAGTGCCTTATCCTGGAGGAGGCGGAGGTGCTGTGCCAGGTGCCCGTGGCCTCCACCCACACACTTCCACGATTGGCAGTGGCTGGTCTTCTTTATAAACAGCAAAGTGGGTGTGTCCCGGGTGTGGTCAGGTTCCAAGGGCCTACAGTAGTAAGATCCCCCTGCCCAAGACTGTCCTGGCCCTCCGGGGCCTCCCTCCTGTGGCCCGGGGCCCTGCTTGATCCTCCTCTTTCTGTCCTGTGTTCCTGTTGCCCTTCCTGGCCCTTGCGGTCTTATCTCTGCTGTGCTGAGGACTGAGGTCAGGGGATAAAGGAAGTCAGGACTTGCCCTCTTAGGGCTGGGGACATAGCTGAGTTGGTAGAGCTCTTGCCCCGCATGCACAAGGCCCTGGGTTCAATCCCCAGCATCATGGAAAATCAAAAAGAAAAAGGATTTGGCCTTTTGTTATCGGACTAGCCAAGGAGACTCTAAGGGGCTTGTTGGAGGTGGAGGATGGTTGTGTTGGTGGCCTTAAGTCCAGGAACCACACAGTGGCTGGAGACTGGGGTCCTACCCCTTGCATATCCGTGTGCACCTCTGCTCTGGAAATCCCAGCTGACAAGGGTCTTTAGTATGTCCTTGAGGACTGCGGCACTCGCAGTACCTCAGCCCTGGGCAGTGACCTGAGGGGTCCCAGGGAGGATGGTGGGAACTGGTAAGTATTGTCAGGGGCAGGACTTGGCTTTGGGTTGTAGATACGGGGGACTCCCCGGAGTGTGGCCTCTGCAAGGGACCCATGGGGCCTTGGTCATCCCACAACCCTGGGAACTCTGACCCTCACTCCAGCTATGGCCCAGTGAGGAGCAGGGAGGGGGCATCCTGGGATGTTGGACCCATGGCTCTTAACCTTTGAGTACCCTGGGGAGGCCAGGGGCCTGGGGCATCAGGGAGCCTGTCCTCCTGCTCTGCTTCAGGGACAGGGCCTGAAGAGGCCCAGAGTGACGCCTTGTGTTTTGGGATGGGTGTGCTGAGTGCAGGTGGGTGCTGATAAGGGGGTTAAAAGGCAGCCAGGGCTGGGATGGAGAGAAGGCTGAATACTTCCTGTGGGGGCCCCACAGAGCAGGAAGGACTTCTCCGGAGAGGGTAGCCCTCTGCTCCAGGGGGAGGTGGGCCTGGCTGACAGTGACCCCGGCACAGAAGGGTTAGATAGAGGGATGGGCCAGGGCATCCCCACTGAGGCTGAGGCCTGGACTAAGGGAGGCTGGAAGCCCCAGCAGTCCCACCTTGGTGAGGCTGCAGATGCAACTCATACCCCAGGTATCTGTAGGCCAGCAACAGCCCTCCTGATTCTCAACAGGCTGGCCCCCAATGTAGGCTGGAGACTTGGACCACTCTTGGTGCTGGGACACTTTCTGTAAAGATAAGGACCTTGGCCCCTGTCTCAGGTTCCCCCAGGCAATGGTTCCGGGGGCCTGGGCTCCTCTATCCTTGTGGAGGAGGGACTGCCATGGCCTGAAGTCCCCTCTTCCAAGTTCCCCAGGGACGTTCCGGCTGTGGTTCAGTGGACTTCCCAGAGAGCAGCAGGGTGGGGGTGAGCTGGCACAGCTCAAGTGCCCCACCCACTCCCAGGGTCTGGAGGGAGGAGGCTCCTGGCCTCTTTGTGAGTGGGAGATCAGAGCAGGATTCCTGGAGAGGTACCAGACTGAGACTATGGGAATGTGTCCCCAACCTTCTTTCTAGAAGAGGGGCAGGGTCAAAGTACGGGAGGAGACTTTCATGCTAGTTTGCATCCGTCCGTATTTTAGAAGTGACTGGTTCCTTCCCTGGCTCCGGCTGATCTGGGGCTTTGGCGGGTGCCTGCGAGTTGCCACTAGGGACCTGGTAAGCCTTCCTGCAGAGGAGAGCCCCCTGCCCCAGATCTGGGACTGTGGGCTGCTTGGCCTGGGGTGTGGACCTGCTGGAGCAGCCTGGTTCCCAGAAGGTCCCCATGTCTCCGCTGGACCCTCAGCCACTTTTGAGTTCTGCCCAGAGGCGGGCGTGGACCAGATGATCTTTCTAGGCGGGTCGGTCTGGATGCGAGGTCCCCAGGGTACAAGTCTCTGCCTCGGGGCGGGACTCGCAGGGCGGGGTCCTAAGAGGCGGGGCCCCAGGGTCCCTGAAAAGCTTACACCAAGCGGGCGTCACCCAGTCTCGCGCCCACAGCCCGCTCTCGCCCAGCATTCGAAGCTCGTTCGGTACCCAGTATCGCCATGCCCAAGTGCCCCAAGTGTGACAAGGAGGTGTACTTCGGTGAGTGAATCCTGCACCTGGGGCCTCCCCGTGCGCGCACTGCCGGCCAGATGCGGAAGAGCGACCGACCCTCCGGGGCGGGGGACGTACTGGCCATCCTGGAGACTTGGCGGGGGCCGCCCAGGTAGGCGCAGGGCCTCTGGAGCCCTGAGGGCCTCCTCGGAGCCAACCTGTCCGCCTGGCTCACGGTCGTCCGGGTGTGAGTCGGGACCCCCTGCGTCGGGCGGCCCGGCTATCTCTTCCCATTCACGGTTTCTGTCTCCCTGCCTCTGTGTCTCCCCGTCTGGTGACCCCTGGTCTCGATGTTTCTACGCTTTCCATCCACGCGCCTTGGGCGGGGTCCCCGAGGGATGGGAAGGAACGCGGGGCTGGGGCCTCCCCTGCCAGCGCTAAGTAGAAACAGATGCGGAAACCGACGCCCCGGGCGCGATCCCGGCACGCTCAGATGCGAGCGCCCGCCTTCCGGCCCCGCGCGCGCCCCGGGGAGGGGCAGGAGGGAGTGGGAGGTCCTCCGCCCCAGGAGAAAGGCGCCCGCAGGCTCCACCCAGTCCCCCGGCGCCCGGGGCCAGAGGGCTTCGCCAAGCCAGCCTGACCCCAGGCTTCCAGTCCGCCTACTCCACCCCAGCCCTCGGGGCGTGTCCCAGGCACAGCACCTGGAAGTGGCACGAGGGCCAGACTCCTCTGATTAGTTTGGCTGGGGACTAGAGGTGTGTCCCTAATATGTACAGGGGCAAGAAGAGACGGGGTGGGGGGTGCTGCCAAGATGAGAGAACGCAGTATGGGTGGACTGGAGGAGGGGTGTGAGTGACGGTGTGCCAGGGCCCGAGAGCGGTGTCTCATGGGGACTTCCCTGCAGCGGAGCGGGTGACCTCGCTGGGCAAGGACTGGCATAGGCCCTGCCTTAAGTGTGAGAAATGCGGGAAGACGCTGACCTCCGGGGGCCACGCAGAGGTAGGTGGGCTGCGGGCCACTGGAAGGGGGAGTCATGCTGGGGCGAAGGCAGCTACTCAAGGGCCTTTTCTCCGCAGCATGAAGGCAAGCCCTACTGCAACCACCCCTGCTACTCCGCCATGTTTGGGCCCAAAGGTACATTCTGGCAGTCTGCCAACCGCCCGCCTCTCTCTCTCTCTCTCTCCCCCCCCCCCCCCCCCCCCCCCCCGCCTCCATACTGTGTTGACCTTCCACATCTTTTTGCAGGTTTTGGCCGTGGTGGAGCCGAAAGTCACACCTTCAAGTAAACCTAGGTATAATCCTCCCTCCAGTCCCACCCAGCCCATCCTTCTCAGGATTCGAATGTCCCCCCAGGTCTGATATTCAGGGGCCTGGAGGCAGGGCTGAGAGGTATACTCAAGAAATGCCTGTCTCTCTGCACAGGTTGAGGAGACCCTATCCTTGGCCACCCACCGGGCCATTGCCCATTCAGCAGATGCCGGGCCTTACCCCAGACACCCAGGGCTCCTCATAGCCCCTTGTGCCTTCAATAAACCTGAACACGTGGAAGACGTGTGTGTGTGTGTGTGTGTGTGTGTGTGTTCACTAGTACTTGGGCACACGTGGATAGTGGAAAGAAACGACATCTGGGAACTCCCAGCCCAGGGTGCTTGCTCTGCCTGCTGCAGAAGGCACTGTTGCCCACTCCCCTGAGGAGGTCTCTGGGGCCCCCTTTGCAAGGCATGAGTCCAGCCCTGCACCTCTGACCTCCAGACCCACCAAGGCCCTCCTCTGCGGTTCTGGAATGGGCTGGGCAAAGGGTCAGAGGGAATTTGAGGCCTGGGAGTGGGTGGTGTTGGGAGGACTCTGGCCATGGGTCAGAGAGTGATTCAGCTGGAGCTGCTTCCCTTTTTGAGAAGCTTTGGGGGAGCTGTGGTGTGGACTCCTTGCCTTCCCACTTTCTGCTGCTCCACCCTTGTCCCCATCTACCCCAGATCAAGCTGTGGTTTTTTTTGCAGGGGCTTGCTGTAGCTGCGCAGCTAGCCATCCAGACACCAGACCCCATGTTTGGGCCCCTCCCTGAGCAGGGACTCCCCATAGTGGCCTGTGCTGTCATGGTTATGTCCTGGCTTTGCACAGTGGAGGGGGCCCTTTAGGAAACTCCTTTGTCAACCTAGCCCCTGCCCACTGGGCTACCGTCAGAACCCCACTGTCCCCTGGCAGCTCAGTCCCAGCCCTGGCCAAAGGTCTCCCAAACCCCTTTAGACCATCTGCAGACGGGAAGAGCCCAGGTCAGCCTAGTGAACTGTAGCTGGCAAAGAAGGGGTGGGGAGCTGTTGAGGGTGGTCTGTAGAGCGAAAAGCTCGCGTCATAGGGCGATCCTGGAGGGCGGCAGAGGGGGTGGGGCAGCCAGGCGGGAGCCTAGGATGCTGAGCTCCAGAGGCTCCCAATCCAGGTGGGGGGTGGGGGCTGAGGGCTGAGGGCTGTGGCCCAGCGATACCTGGCGGCCAGGGTAGGGACAGCAGCTCCCAAACCCGAGGTCCTAGCCTCCCCGATGATGCGCCGTCGCCGTGACTCCCTTCCCCACATAGCTCACAGCCCCATTTGGGGCGACTTGGGGTGCACTGTCAGCGAGCTGAGACCTGCAGAAAGAGAGTGGGAATCAGCTAAGCCCCAAATGGGGTTAAGAGCACCCCAGGCAGAAGGTCAGCAGTGCAAAATCCCTAAGAAGAAAAGATCCGTTGTCGTCCATCAGAAATCAAGCCGCGCAGGGTGGGGGTGGGGGAACAGTCTTCGCACCCACAGCTCAGGGGGCGCTGAGAAAGGGATGGAGGGCAGGATTGCCTGGGACCTGGAGCCGAGAACAAGCCAGCAGCGTACCCCATACTGGGGGGGGAACTCCCGGCCAGGGACTTCGGAGCCGAGTCTGTTGGCCGTGACCCCTGGCCCAACGTTGCCACCGCCGTTCAGTGGAGGCCACGGAAGCAGGACGTTCCGAGCGGGCGCGCCGCGCTCCCGCTTCCAGTGGGCGTGGCCAAGCGGACAGGTGTGTGGGGTGCTTCGTACTTCCCTCTCTAGCTGGCTTTCCTCCGCCTTCTCTCGGGCGCCCCCCCCTCTCCACCTGCCTTCTTTCCGGCTTTCTTGTGTAGTGTGCGCACGGTCCAGTCCACCGCCCCAGCCGCACCTTCAGTGACGTGAAGCGCACGGAGTTCGTGCCAGAGTGTTCCAGTCACCGATGACTCCCTCCTGCCATTCTCCCCCTGCCCGCTGGCCAGCCCTTTCCGGGCAGCCAGGGCCCTGCGAGTTTACCTCCTCCTGGCACTCCACACGGTCCGGCCTACCTGATGCGGGCTTTTGCAGGGGCTTCCTGCATTCGGAAGAACGCGAGGACGTCACCCAGGCTGCCCGCGGCTGGACAGGATTCCTAATTATGCGCGTGCTGTGGTTCTTTCCCACACACCAGGGTGAACTCTGGGTCCGTCTGCCATGTGATAGGGCTGTTGTGACCTCCCGCGTGTCCTTGCGAAGATGGCTCACAGCCTACCAGGACTGATACTGTTGGGTCGGGTGGGAAACTTCCGCTTCTGAAGGAAATGGCCACACTGCTTCCCAAAGAAGGTGGGGACAGTGAGGCCTATGTTTGGGCAGGGTAGCTGAGGGCAGAGAGCTGGGGCTAGGGACGGGCGACGGGCCGGAGTCTGCAGATAAAAGAGTTGACGGCCTTCCCTTCTGGAGCTTCCTTTGCCCAGCTCGTCGGGCGAGGTTACTCACGGAGTCCCCACCCAGCTGCCCCGGGTCATCTGCCGGGTTGTCTGCCCGGGCGGCGGCTTATGAGGCTCTGGCGCCCCCTGGCGTCGAGCCGGGGAGGCTCCGCGGAGGGGCGCCGGCAGTGGCCGAAGGGAGTCTGGTTGCACAGTCCTCCGGGGCTCCAGGGGGCGCGCATGTTTTTCATTCAGTGCTGACGACGCCGGGTTGCTAGGTAGTCAATGGCTCGGGGCGCTGATTGGTTGGTTCTGGACCAGGCGGGTGTAGGGCGAAGGTTGGGCGAGCGAGTTCAGCAGCCTCGGTGCTGCTGACCTCGAAGGCTCCACCCCAGGAGCGCGGAAGTGCCTTCGCGCCTGACGAATAGACGCAGGGCCAGCGCTTACTGGGTTACGGCGCAAAAGCGGGTCCTGGCCGGCGCTGTGATTGGGCGCCATCTGCCGGGGCGGGCGATCCAAGGAGGCCTGGAGCAGGCTGCATGGGGAGGCGGCGGCGCAGGGTGGACTGGGCGGCCGGCGTCGGGACCGGGACCCTGCCCGAGGCGATTGCCGCGCTCAGTAGACTGCTGCCCGCTGGGCCCAGCCCGGAGATCTTCCGCCGTGCCAAGTTCGACCGTCCGGAGGCGGTGAGGCCGGCGGCGCGGGCGTCGGGCCAGGAGTTGCCGGATGCAAAGTCAGCCTGGCCCGCTGACCGCGCGCTTTTCGTTCTCCGTAGGCCCCCGCGCTCTGGCGGCTCCTCTTCCACGTACTCGCGCCGCTCCCAGAACGTGGTGCCTCGGCCTCGCTCTCCCCGGGTAAGTCCCGTCCTCTGGAATGCCCCGCCCTAAAGGTCTCGACTCAGCCCACCCTGGCAACACTAGCCTGGCGCTGACCCCGCCCACCAGGCGGCACTGGCTCCGCCCAGCTTGGTAAGGCTCCGCCCCAGAGGCTTTGGCTTTGTCCAACTCTAAGGCTCCCACCTCCAAAGGCTCTGGGACCACGCACCCAGGGAGGCACTGGCCCTGCTCAACTCTAAGGCTCCACCCCTGGAGGCTCTGGCCCCTCGCACTCAACCGAAGTCCTGGTTCTGGTTGGACCCTGGTTCAATCAACACCTAATCCCTTCCTTCCAGGTTAGGGTATGGTGCCCTCATCTTGGTTGGAGGACCCAACCCCTACCCCGCGTTGGGTCCTTGTCCTTGTTCCTGTCTCCTCTATTTGGGGGTCCTGAAGGAGTACAGATGATATCCACTTTAGGTAGGCTTCTCCCTGAGCTGGTGGTCTTTTACTCCAGAGGCCCAAGCCCGCCTGGTGAAGGCAGTGCTGTGCTCCCAGGGCTACCCGAGGCCTGTGCTGGCACAGCTTCCGGAGGATGGCTCCCAGGGCAGCCGGGAGCTGCTGCTGGCCCTGTCCTGGCTCCTGGCCCGAGAGCCTCTGATTGAGCGGCTACTGGTGCAGACTCGCGTCCAACTGGGCGACCAGGTGCCTGATTTTGAGGTGGGTGTGTAATAAGGGTCATTGGGCCCAGCTCTGTCCAGATGCCAGAGTGTCCCATGTCCCATGACCTGTGGGCCATCCCATGTTAGACTTGAGGGCAGCCCGTGCTGGGGCTGTCCTGGCTGTCTAGCTGAGAGTGTGCAGGCAGCTAGGTCTGTGGCTGTATCTCCACTGCTCTTACTGTCCTTGCCCCTTCTTCAGGTAGGGTAGAAAGTCAAATAGGGGCTAACCCTTATTACCTCTCCAGAGTGGGGCCCTGGCCAGCTCTGGCCCACCTGTATTACACATGGGAGCAGAAGTCCCCGTGGACCTCCGCTGTGTGCAGTGGCTGATGGGAAAGCTGCGGTTCCGGTGGCGGCATCTGATCTCCAGTCAGCAGGAGCAGTGCACCCTCCTGGGCAAGGTAGTGTTTCACACAGCTCTCCACCAGGGACCAGAGACCCTGGCTACCTTTCCCTATGGCCCATCCCACCAAGCCTGGCAGGGGCTGACCCCAGGCTGCTTGTGGGCCTTCCCTGACCTGGCTGGGGCTGGTGGGGGTTGGGACTGTGATCCAGGTAGGGGACCAGATTTCGATGGAACTGGGCAGTATTGGGAGCCATGGTCAGGGGTCTCAATCCTGCTGGAAGAAAGTCTGCTGGATCAGAGAGCCACGGAGTCAGCTTTACTGTTGCCAGAAATTGTCGCCTTTAGACTCTGCCAAGAGAAACTGTTCCTCCTGGGCACTTTCCCACCATGTTCTGGATGTGGGCTGATCTGGGCAGTGGGCAGCTCTTGTAGGGGCCTTTGAAGGAGCCGTAGAGATTAGGTTCAAGCGCTCTGGTGCCCAGCACATGACCATTGTGAAGTGAGGGCTGATGGGTTGCTGGGTGGTAGCCATGGGCTCCGTGGTGCTGAGACCCCTTCTGTGGTCTTCTCAGCTGGTCTTTCCTGGGACCTGCTCCTGTTGCCTGGCCTTGGCTCCAGCAGCTGCACCGGGTTAGGGGCCCACCTTTCTGGGGCACGTTTGTACCTTCCAGAGCCTAGGGCTTGACAGCAGGGCAGGGGGCACCATCCCACTGTATTGGACCCCTGGGGAGGCCCTGAGTAAGATTGCCTGGTGTCCCTCCCTCTGTAGGGGCTCCCGAGTGGTGTGATAGCTATCTTGAGTCTGACACTGCCCTGGCCAGCCTCAGGTAAGGTATGGCCGTCTTGCAGGGGAGTTGAACTCTGAAGGTGACCATGCTGCTCCAGTGGAGGCCCCGTGCTGGAGAGGGTGCACCTCCACAGCCTGGGGTCTGCCTTCTGTTCCAGATCCACTTGTATACCCACGGCTGCCACAGTGACCAGAACCTCGGCCATCTGTCTGTCACGGAAACTGAGATGCTCAGGGACCCGGAGGGTGGCCAGCAGGTGAGGGCTCTCTGCTGGGGGTGGGTGTTGCCTGAGGTTCGGCGGGGCCTGTTCGGGATGACCTGGGCTGTGACAGGCTTTGAGCTGTACATGTCTCTGGGTTGTTGCCGAGCTCACTGTCATTGCTGGTGTGGTTGACAGGGGTGTCTTCAGGACTCTGTCTGTCCCATGAACTGTCCATCTTTCCCAGAATCCTAATAGGTTGCTGTGTGTACACCTCTGACCAGATATGAGCAGGGTCCCAGAAGTGCATGGGTCCAGGCTGGGCTAGTTGAGGAAGAAGACCACAGGAATTAAGGATTGCTGGCCTCAGGTCTGCGTTGAACCTGGAGCCCACAAAACATTTGTCACCTGGTATTGAGGGGAGTCCTGGAGGAGGGACTGTCCATAGGATTGGCTGAGAGGGCACAGCTGCCCTTCAGAGCAGGGGCCTGTTGGGAAGGCTCTGCCCTGGAGACATGGTAGGCCTCAGTCCTGCTTCCTGGTCAGAGGCCACTCAGTGTTTGCGGGACAGTGCTGCCCAGGTGATGTACTTCCTTGGGGTCTCAGCCCTGTGGAGCACAGACCTAGAGAAAAGCCAAGCTCTGAACTTGGGTGGCCATGTACCCTCAGGCAGAGGGTCATTTGCTAAGGCTGCTGGGGCACTAAGGAGAGGAGGGTCAGGGCTGGCCCCGACACCGTCCAGTTTCTCCCGTTTCTGCTGTCCCCTCTGCCCTCATCCATGCTGACTGGTCCCCATCCCTTCCCCAGCGGCTTTTTGCCGCTCCTTTCTTCTTCTTGGCAGAAACCATAGGGAGTGGCTAGGAGCATGTGCCTGGCCCTGCTGCCTGCTGGTCCTCTGGGCCAGAGTGCCCTGTGTGCCCTGCCCAGCTGTGGCCGGCTGTCACCTTCACACTGAACTCTGGACTGACTCGAGTGGGGCACTGCTGGCAGGAGGGCCGAAGCTCCAGCCAGTAGCTCCTCCTCTGGCTCTTCTGCCTCATCCCAGTTCTGCCTACAACCTGGCAGGTGGGACAGGGGGCCCAGGGCTCAGAGGCGGACCGCTCCTGGTCCCCACTGTCTGCTCTGCTGGGGCTTCTGCCCTGGCACATCTGGCCGTCAGATGCAGCTTTGGCGCTTTATGCTCCAGGTGATTTATATGCACCCATTGTGACTGAGTGTGCCCACCTGGTGAGGCCTGCCTGGCCTTGGTGCCAGCTGGGCCTGGCTCCCTGGATGAGGCCTGGGCTAGCCTCAGAAGGGCCTGTGCTTGGCTTTGGAGGTGCTGAGACAGCATTTGGATGTCCCCACCTGCCTTTGACTCTGTCCCCCTTTCGGAGGTGACTCAGCAAGGCCCAGGCTTTCAGCCCCTGGTCCCTGGTTTAGAGCAGGACAGGGGCTGCCCAGGCTCCATTTGGGCCTGCCTGAGCCCCTCAGTGTGGGGTGGGGACCTAGAGGGGGAGGCAGGATGTGTTGGTGCTGCAGGATTTCAAACAGCCATGGGTAGGTGAAGTGGCACCATGCTTGGCCTCCTTCCGAGTTTCTGGACAGAGCTGGCTGAACCCTGGATCTGGCCTACCCGAGAGCTTGCACTGCTGGGACAGGCCCTAGAAGCTTCTGGAATGACCTATGGCTGGTGTGAGCAGCTGGCATGCTGCTGGGTGACTGGGCAGTTCACTTGGTCACTGGTGGAGCCTGCACCCTTCCGTTTGTCCCCTGTGCCCTTAGTCCTGCTGGGGGTGGCAGAAGACGTCAGAGTGCAGCCCCAGAGAAGAGGAAGGGGAGGTGTTGTATGCCCGACCCCAGTCCAGGGGTGCTGGCCATCCTGGGGACTCTTGGAAGCTGTGTTAACTGCTCTTTTCCTGGTGTGTCTCGGTGCCTGAGTGGGAGTGGGGGGGGGGCCTGTGGACATACTCTGCCCTCCCCTTGCCCTGGTCTGTCTCCCTGCATCTCTCATGAGTCTCCCAACACTGTCCCTGGCATGGGTGTGCTTTGAGGGGAAGGGTGGCTAGGCCTGGTCATGCGTTGGGCTACCCTGCCCTGCAGAAAGGCGGCAGAAACCATAGGAGTGGCTCGGGAGCACGTACCTGGCCCTGCTGCCTGCTGGTCCTCTGGGCCAAGGGGCCCTGTGTGCCCTGCCCAGCTGTGGCTTGTTCTGCAGCTGCTGTGGGCACTGGAATGTGAGAACACCCGTCTGAAGGCAGCTCTTGAGTGGCGGCGCTGGGAACTGGTATTCTGGCGGTGGATGGTGAGCTAGGCTGCCCCCTCCCCTCCCGTTCCCTTCCTGGCCCAGGTGGTGGGTTTGGGCAGGGTGGGTGGGGGGCGCACCTCCCAGACAGGAGGAAGAAGAGGCTCTAAGGGATCCCACACCCCAGGTCTGGCGCCCAAAGTCCAGGGCTTTGCCCACGACCTTTGCATGTCTTCTGGGGAGGCCCAACATTGCTGGCCATGGCCTCTAGCACCCACAAGTGTCTTCTTTTTTATCCTTTTCTTTTTGGTGCAGGGGATTGAACCCAGGGGTGCTTAATCAATGAGCCACATCCCCAGCCTTTGTTTTTCTTTTTTTTTATTTTGAGCAGGGCCTTGGTAATTTGCTTAGGCTGGTATTGAACTTGTGATCTTCCTGCTTCAGCCTCCCAAGTGGCTGGGATTACAGGCCTGGAAGGACTGAGTTTTGTGCCTTCCTGGAGGCTACCTTGCTGGGGTGTCAGTAGCTGTCCAGACCTCTGTGGGACCTGGGAGGGCCACCACTGCCTCCTGGGGCCTCTGTCTCCCCTAATGGAAGCCATGCCTGGCACATGCCCACTTATCTCCCTGCAGGACACAGTCCTGGGCATCTGCCCTCCAGAGGGCCCTGCTGCAGCCTCACGACCCACGATCCTGCCCAGGGTTCCTGAGCAAGGGCTTGGCCAGCTGGAGCAGGTAGCGCAGGAGCTGCAGGCCCTGCACGAGGAGCTGCTGGAGGCAGGCGCCGCCCGGCGGGTGGCCTGGGAGGCCCAGGTGAGTGTGGCAACGCTGTCCTCTGGACCCTCTCAGCCCCGTGCTATCTCCTGGGGAGTGCCCACCCTAGAGCCTGGCGGCCTCTCTGAGCTCCTGAATCACCGATCTTGTTGGATTAAGTTTGGTAGGTGGTACATTCGGGTACCAGACTCCAGCCGGGCAGGAGGCTGCACACTGAAGGCCCACCTGTTCCCCAGGATAGCTACTATGTCCCCTGACTGCCCTTTGGGGGTCTTCACTTTCCACGGGAATCAGTGGAGAGGGGAGCAAGCCCACATTGCGTTGTTGGCCTGACATTCCTGTGCATGCTCACAGTCATCCCCTGAGTCCTGCGGGTCTGTGGGGACATGTGGCCCTCCTGCAGCGTCACCCTGAGCCAGCTATGGCTGTAGACACTGCTTGCAGCCGCATGCTCTTGTGACTCCAGGCAGATTCCCTTAGACTCTTCCTGAGCCTCTGTGAAGAGTGGCGCTGCCCCTGTGGCCTGTCACCCCCTCACCCTGCTGAGTGGCAGCCCCTTATCCTCACTGCTCCCAGGAATGGGTCTGCCTCCTGCTGCTGCTCGGGGCCTTGTGGAGTCCTTGAGAACTGTGCTGCCCAAAGGCTCAGGGTGGCTCCCTGGGGTCATCTGGAGGGAGCTAGAGGCTTGAAGTTCCCATGGATGTGACCCCCTCTCCAGATTACCCTCCACAGGGTCCTGGATAGAGTTGGCCTCAATGGCGGGAGGTGGAAGGGTGGGCAGCCCTGGGTCCTGTGTTCCTGGTGAGCCCACCCTTCAGTCCCTGCCTGAGGGCTCGGGAGGTGTGAAGTGCTGGGCTGAACTCAGGAGGACAGTTCGTTGGGGGTCTTTGCTCTGACCTCTGAAGGGCTTTGAGAAGAGTGGTCTTCTGAGAGCTGCCAGGCCCACCCCCACTCCTGCCCAGTAAGCCATTTGGGTCCTGCAGCTCAGGCAGGGAGTGGGTTCTGGGAGTCCCCCTGGCGTAGCTGCCTCTGGTGCAGGGCTTGGGCGCTCCATCAGGCTGAGGCAGAGCTCAGGCCTGGGGGGCGTCTTGCATTGGCCTGAGGCTAGACCTGCTTTCTGAGGCAGGAGGATAGACACCTGGGCCCAGGGTTGCCCAGGGCCTGTGCCCTGTGTCCTGGGGCAGAGTCCCTTGGGCTCAGGAGCTGCTGTATCTGCTCCTTGCAGGTTGAAGGCCTGGGCCGGGGGCCACAGTGGAGTTCTGTGCGCAGGGCCTCTCAGGAGGCTGTGGACCAAGAGCTGGCAGCCCTGCGGAGGTCCTGGGAGCAAGACAGGGGCCCCACCCCACCCCAGGGGCCCCACCGGCTGGTGAGAAGGGAGGAGAGTGCTGCAAGGACCCAGGGCCTGCAGGCGGCCGGGCTGGCCAGGCTGCTGAGGCGCCAGGAGGCCTGTCTGCAGGCCACGTTGCACCGCCTACAGGGACAGTGCCAGCAGGAGCTGGCCAGGCTGGCAGGAGCCCTGCCTGGCCTCATTTGGATCCCGCCACCCCGACGCTGACGGCCTGTGGACATGTCCTCCCCGTGTGGGAATCTGCCCTGGCCCAGCCTAGAGCTGGTAGCCATGTGCCACCGTGGATGCAGAGGTTGGGCCGCGTACTGAAGGACCAGGATCCAGACCCTTGGCCTGTAGTACTGGGGCAAAGGGACCCAGAAATAAACAGTGGAGGCCTCCCCGTAGGGAGCAGGCCACTGGCCGTCTTTTGCTGCCCTTCTGGGTTCTGTCTGAGGGTGGATGGAGGGGGCATCTTGGGTCAGGCGAGACACCCTTGGGTGGTGGTGGACTAGCTAGAGCCAGTGCAGGGCTGGCCAGGGCTGGGAGACACCTGGCCTGCACACCGGGTGAGTGGGGGGACCTGGGGAGGGTGGCTGTGCCACCTTCCCAGGTCCCCATGGCATGCCCAGCTCTAGGCTGTGGGCACAGCCTCCCTCCTGTGCTAGGCCTGCTGTGGGTGGGGGCCGGATGGGAGCTCTGGGGGCTCTGCTTTCCTGGGGGTGGTGGCCTGGGAGTGAGGGGGAGGCCGCAGTGCGGACAGAGGGGCCTTGTTCCTGAGGCTGCTCAGGGAATTCAGCTCTGACAAAGGGCTGCTTGTATGTGCGACGTGCCCACAGCCTGGTGGAGCAACTTCCATCCCAGCGTCCCCCCAGCCAACAGGCGCAGGTGGGCCCTGTGGCCTCTGGCCCTGCCTCCCGCCTCCTAGGGTCCACACCGTGACCTGGCACTGGGCGGGTGATAGGGTCAGTTGGCTGTGTGCAGCCTCCTGCCAGTCTAGGCCCAAGCCTAATTCAGCCTCTGGGAACCTGGTTTTTCTGTCAGGATGTTCCTTTATGGGACTTTTCCTGCCTGGTTGGTATGTGCTGGAGCAATAGCCTACACCCGGGCTCTGACTCTGCCAGGGGCTCCTTGGCCTCTGGGGCTGTACACCCCGCTACTCCTCTTGGCCAGCCATTGCTAGCATGCCATCTTCAGGAATACTAGCTGGACGGGGTGGTGTCCAGCAGCTTGTGCCTGACTCTTGTGGACATGGCCCTGAAGAGTCACAGGGCACTTGGAGTCCAGCCTCCTGGAGTCGCTTCCGGCCCTGCAGCTATCTGCCGTTGTGCCCTGGGCCTGCACGTAGCAGCCATATGCAGCGAGGCCACTTCTGCTCCCTGCATCTGGAGGAGGTGCTAACCCAGGACTCCCACTGGCCCTCCACAGCTTGAGTTTTGAAGCCTAAAGGCAGATGTGGCGCCAGGCACCGCCTCTGCCTCCTTTGCTCTGCAGGTCCAAAGAGTCCAGTTAGGACCGCGGGCGTGTGTGTATTGTGTGTGTGCGTGCGAGTATGTGCGCGCTCGTGTGTGTGTGTGTGTGTGTGTGTGCATTGTGTGGTGTGCCTGTGCACATGACCACGGTGACCGTGGTAGCTCAGACCCTGGTTCTTCTAAGGAAGGGGCCTGCAGGGGGCCTGCCTGAGGGCCCAGGCGTACTCAGTGTGGTGGGTGGTCACTGGGGAGGCCTCTGGTGTTGGGTGCCAGCTCTTCCACACGGTGGCTAGAAACAGCCCTGCCGTGTGACTTGCCTGCTCTTCATTCTGAGCTCCCACACAGGGTTAAAATCAAGTGCTGGTGGGCCACGACTTCCTCAGGGGCCTCTGGAGGACCTGGGGGAGAGTCCCTTCCAGGTTCACAGGAGTTGTTGTTGACCTAGGCTGCTCTGGGATCCCCGCCCATGGCCCCCCATCTCGGAGCAGGCCCTGAAGGCCATCAGACACTCCTGTCCTCTCTGACTTTGAGAAGCTGGTATGAACTTGCCCCCTGCCCTCGCTCCTCCAGATAACCTTCCTGTCTTACCCAGGGACAACCAGGACCTGTAGGCACGCTTGGTCTGGCATGTTGTGTGACTGGGAGTCCGTCTGAGGACGTGCAGTCTGAACCCCAGGTTCCCATGAAGAGGCAGGTATGTTCTTACAGGAAGCAGCAAGAGAGCAGCAGGGCAGCTTCCCGACACCTGCCTGTGTGGGAAAGCGTGATCACTTTGACTCCATCAAACGAAACTCCCAGACGCAGTGGCGTACACGCAATCCCATCAACTCCGGAGGCTGAGGCAGGAGGATTGCAAGTTTGAGGATAGCCTAGGCAACTTAGAGACCCTACCTCAAAAAACAGGACTGGGGGTGCTTAGGCTGTAGCTTAGTGGTAAAGCGCTTACCTCGTATGCGTAAGGCACTGAGTTTGATCCTCAGCACCACATAAAAGTAAATGAAGATACTGTGTGTTCATCTACAACTAAAAAATATACATAAAGATATTTTAAAAAAAGGACTGGAGGCCAGGGCTGTGGCTCAGTGGTAGAGCTCTTGCCTAACATTTGAGGCACTGGGATCGATCCTTAGCATCACATAAAAATAAATAAAATAAAGGCGTTCTGTCCATCTATATCTAACTAAATGTATAAATAGATACATTAAAAACATCACTGGAAGTGTAGGTCAGTGGTAGAGTGCTCCCCAGCTCAGTCCCTAGTACCCTGAGAAATAAAATCCTGGAAGCTTCTGTTTACTAGAAGACAACATAACCCAGGGTGTAGCTGAGTGGCAGAGCGCTTGCCTAGCATGTGTGGGGCACTGGGTTCCATCCCTAGCGCCTCCAAAAAAAAAAAAAAAAGATAAAGAGCCAGGGTGGAGAATTTACTTGCTATGTTTATGGCAGATAATTAGTGTCAGGACAATAGGTGGGACCATCAAGGGTGAAGAAGGTAAATGTGCTAGATGGGGTGGGTGCCATAGAGCAGGGCCTAGGAGAGGCCAAGTGGGTGGCAGTGTCCACCTTCACTAGCAGTAGAAGGGGCTGAGCATGGTCCTGGGCTGGTGAGGACTGGCACTGTGGCGGGGAGTGGAAGGACCTCAGCCTGCAGGCACACTCTGGAGAGTCATGCTCAGTGTGCAGGGGCCCAGCAGTGTCCCCTGGCAGCAGTTCATAGGGCTGCACAGGGACCGAGACGCTGATGGCTATGGGAAGCCCAGGGTGCGTACACAAGTGTAGCAGTGGAGAGCCTTCATAGAAGGACGAGTCACAGTAAGACACAGGAGGACATTAGAGAAGGTCAGCAGTAGGATGCTGGCCTGGCATGCTTGAGCCTTTGGGTTCAGTCCCCACACCCCGCCCCTGCACAGGGAAGGGTCTGGCATTGACTGTCACCTCACCATGGCATAGGGTGGGAGACAGGCGCAGGGAAGTTCTCTGTGCAGGTGGCTCCCTGGACATGGGTGTTTTGCTCCATGACTTCATGTGCGTTCCTGCTGTTTGTTGGGCGTGTCTCCTACATTGTGAAGACAGACGGATGGAGTGCAGCGTGCAGCCCTGTGCCCAGCCTGTGGTTTTAGTTGGTTCTGCCCATTCTGTACTTGTGGCGTGGCATGGGTCAACCTGGTCAGTGGGCAAGCCTGGTAGGCCCATAGCCGATCAGGACCATGCCCTTCTGCTGCTGCACCAGCATGTGGATGCCCAAGGGGTGTCCCCTGTGTCCTGCTGACACCCAGCTTTGGCTGGGAAGCAGGATGCCTAAGTGCCATTGGGGAGTAACTCGGTTGGTTAGGCGTGGTGGGTTCTGTTTAAGCTCGGGAACCTGGCCTTTACTGCCTTGCCCTTGGGTCCATACCCTGGGTCTTTGCGTGTGGTGGCGGTGGTGGCAGTGAGGTCTCCTGCCTGGCCTTTGGCCTTTGGCCTCTGGCCTCATGGCTCTTTGTGCGTGCACAGTCCCGGCTCTCCTTTGCCCCACAGGAGCCCCAGGTTCGGAGCCTTCCCTGCTCTCTGGGTCGTGGGCACTGAGCTGCCCATCCCCACCCTGCCTCTGGCTTCTCTGGTCCTCGGCTTTGCTCATCCATTTGGCCAGAATTCTGAGTGGGAGGGGGCAGCACAGAGGCCCCATAGCTCATGCGCAGGAGGGAAGTCAAAACCCCACAAGCAAGTGCAGGGGACAGGGCAGTGGCAAGGGAGGTCAGAGGGCCTGTGCAGTGGGAAGCAGGTCCCTCAGAGGCCCAAGGAGGGTGGTGCAGGTGGGGGACATGAGGACACTTGTTGGGGACAGTGGGCTGTGTGGGTCAGCGAGGCCTGGGTCTGGTCTTTGGAATGATCCCCTCTGCCTGGGGGAGGAGCCGTTCTGGGGCCCAGCAGAGGGCAGGGAGGGTGGCCCAGGGAAGCTCGGCTGGTGTTGTGAGCCATCATGGATGAGCTCTGTTGGCCGTCTAGAGCTGGGCAGGCGGAGCATGGGCACAGGCAGCCTAGGAACCCAGCTTTGGCAAGTTCACCTTGGCTTCTGAGTGGAGATGTCTGGGTGGTGAGCTTGGAGCTGAAGAGCAGGATGAGACCCCTGGGGCATGGTGGGACCACGCTGGGCGTGGTGGGGCTAGGGCCCAAGTCAGAGGGTGAGCTCTGGTGCTCTGACTTGCAGCTGGAAGAGGAGCTTCAGTTAGCAAGAGGAGGGCAGAGGGACCAAGGGGCAGGTCAGGAGGGCTGGGGGAGGGCAGGTCTTGGAGGACAAGGAAGCTGAGGATTGGCTCTTGTGTCCAGCATCCTGGAGTGAGGTGGGATGGGTGCCGGCCTGGTGGGCTCAGGAGAGGAGGAGAGTGTGCACCTCAGCTCCTCAGGTCTGCAGGGGAGGCCCAGAGAAGTGGGTGCTGACTGCAGGGAGCTGGATCTGTCTTAGCCCAGTTGGCAGGACACGCATCATGAGGGAAGAAGCCTTTTGCTGTCGGGAGGCTGGGAGCAAGGGGACACGGGGGCAAGATGTCTGCAAGTTTCCTGCAGAAGGACTGGGGAGGCAGGGTGAGCAGCCTCAGCACCTGCCATGCAGCAGTCTGTACATTCTGGGGTGTGGGGCCGCCCCGCGGTGGCTGGGGCTCTTTCACGTATGAAAGTTGTGCTTGCAGGCTTGTCCTGTACTGTCACCAAGGGGCAGCCCCCCCCCCCCCCCAGCATCAGTGAGGCCCCAGACATCCAAGCTCCAAACAGAAAACAAAAACAAAACCCAGAAAATAAAAAGACACTCAATGCCATGGTGATCGCAACCAGCAGGATGTGGGCTTTGAAGGGAGAGCTGTGTGGCCAGGCCACTGCCTGGGCACCAGGCTGTCATGGGCCATGCCTTGAAAGGCCCTGAGGTCAGGCAGGAGGGCGTCACTGGACCTCGTTTTATAGTACCCAAGAAATGTGCGGAGTGA